AAACTTAATTAGAATCTTTTTTTGTAAAAGTTGTGCGATATACATATACTATTGTCTTGCTGATCATAAATAAATTTATTAAAAATTTTATTTGACCCGGGTTATCCGGGGTCAAACTATAACGGGTCGGGTCAGGGTCGGGTTTTATAAATATTAACCCGGGTATTTGTACGGATTGGTTTTTATAAACGGGTCGAGTCCGAGTACATCCTCAAACCCGACCCGATTCGACCCTTTCGGAACACTAGTCAAGCTTAATTGAAGATACTAACAAAACAGCCCAGAATACATCACCATTTTCCTCTTGGAATCTTAAATGAATTTCTTCTCTCTATTTTTTGATAACTGTCAACCACAAAGTTGGATATTTATGTTCGAACAACGATTTTGTACTTTCACAATGCTTTTTGTTTTCAAAAATAAATTAGCGGTTATGTCATCCACACAGTTCCATCTACCAAATAATTTCAAAGTACATCAGTGTTTCGTTTCTGTATGTCCAATCCCTAATAAAATTACCGCTGATCTCAAGATGATGTTTTTTATTCGTAAAATGAGGTATATATGTGAATAGCCGGTAGTAATTATCCAACGGTCCATATAACGAAATCTTTCTAAGATCATTTGTCATAGGTGTGGTAAAAATTTTTTAATTTTTCGAGAAAAAAAAATTTAAAATTGATCGGCGATTTATTTTTAGGAATTTAAGGGATCAATACATGACGCAAAACCTATATACATGCATTTCGGGAGTTTTAATATTCCAGATCATAAATCCGGGGGATCGTGGGGGAATAATTTATAAAACACTTTTTTTATAGTATATGATGTGCAAATATTAAAAAAAGCGCTTTCGTTTTTTTTTCCATATTTATAAATTATATGATGTCAGTATGATGCACATTAGTTAATGATCATCCTTGAATAATATCCAAAATAGAAATGACGTTTAAAACACACGTATATAAAAATGTAGTTTTAAATTCTGAAATCCCCTCATTCCGTAATATTTTGCTATTTGCTTATTTACTACTTTTTTAATAAAATAAATCATGAAAATTTTCTTCGTTCTTATTATATCTCTACTAATGACTTTTTTCCTCACGGCTGATTCCCATAGCATTTGGATTTCAAGTAATAAAAGGGACCTTACCCATGCAAAGACTATGAAAACGTTAATTCAAAGGTCAACAACTAGATTGACGCATAGAGAGGTATTATTCACCTTTTTTTCTCTTGTGGTATTTATACAGTGTATTCAATTGGTTAAATCCGAAATATCATACCTTGTTGAATTCATCTCATACGTTACAATCACATTACTAATTATACTATGCAATTTCCATTTGTAGCCCAGTCCAATAAACGTAATTGACATCATTTTCTAACTATACGACGTGATCTTTATTATTATTTACTAATAAAATGTTCTATTTGCACATTTTGGACTAAGGGCGTCGGATGTGCTGCTTGCGCAGTTGTGATTTTTTTATTTTATATCTTGTTTTATGGTATCGTTGACTGTTAAAAATTATTAATGCTATATTTTTACTCACGCAGGGATCGGATAAAAAATGCTGTGATGATGGAGATCATTGCTGCGGCTTGGTAATATTTCTTTATTTAACCACGAAACTGTTGAGATATTAAATTCTGACGTGTTTTGTGTATGTTAGAACGATAAATGTCTTCCAGGCGGTTGTTTACCTCCGGTAATTAACCCTACGTTCTTACATCCAATGTGAAATTATATAAAATATTAACTTTAAAAAAATCATTTTAATTTGTTGAACATTCAAGGGTGCAGAAGACTGTGGAAATGGCTACCACTGTGATAAGGTAATCTCCCACTTATTATAGGGTATCATTAAAATATCAATTATTACTAACAATATGCATTATAACAGGGGGACAAATGTACTTCGGGTGGTGGTTGTATACCTTTGGTAATGGACGTCATTTCTTCTTTCTTACATATTGATTCAATTATCTTTGCTATAACATGTTCTATTTGTTGCACATTAGGATGCGGAAATATGTCCAAATGGCGGCTACTGTGATAAGGTAATGTGCTTTACTTTCACATCCTATTATAGGGCATTTTAAAACAATAAGTGTAGCTCATCATGCTTTATATTTCATCTATCTGTACAGGGCGAAAGATGTGCTTCAGGAGATACTTGTTTGCCTGTGGTAATATACTTAATGTTCTTACTTACCACGTGAATTTATTATTAACATTTCCATTTGCTAAATGCTCAGGGTTCAGTCGATTGTGGTCATGGTACTCACTGTAAAAAGGTAATTCCCATTTTAACGACTAACGTTATCATAATTTCTAACATTGTATATACATATATATATGTTTTTACCCACTTTAGGGTCATACCTGCTGTAATGGTGGCAAAAAGTGCTGTTTAGATGATTCCTCATCATAATGTGATAAGATATTCTTTTTAGATATTTCTCCTCCACCAAAATTAAATTCTTCGTCATCGTAACCAGTATAAATAGGTTTTTTCTTTTTATTTTCTAAATTCTTTTTGAGTATTTGTTGTTGTTGTTCAATCTGTATAAAAACTAGCTGATCACCTTCTTTTAAATAAAAAGCAATAAGTAAGAATTCGTAAAGTTAAAAAACTCTCTAAATAAATTTACCTTCGTTTTTGAGAATGCCCGTCCTGGAAATCTGAAATTTCGTGAGCTACTTGCATAATTTAAAATTTTTTATTGAAGGAAACAAATTATTACAAAAAACTCATTTTAGTTAAGTTTGATCGGTGAAGATTCTGATTGGCTACGAGCTGAATATAGCGGGTAATTTCGTAATTTCGATAGAAAACGGACATTGTCAAATCGTCTTTCCGAATTAACGCTAGGTGATCAATTAATTTCACATGATAAGACTGACAAAGTCGGACTTACATATCTGTCCCCCAAAAAAATGGTAGCCGTATTTGTATTTGTTATTCTGGGTCTTTGTTATTATAGTAATTAATTATGTTAATTAATTTTATGAATCAATTTCGTTAGGAAAAAAGTTGCTACTTTTTACTTAAAAACACCTTTTAAGTAAGTCAAGCAAACACATATTTGCGATACGAATTTCTTAGAAGTTGCGGCTTATCATAAAGGATCATGAAATTAATTAGTATTTTTTTTTTTTTTTATGTAAAAAGTTTAATAAAGTGATATATTATAGCATATTGCATCACGAGAAAAGATTTTGATTTTAAGTTATCTCATCCCCTATGTGATATTTAAATTTGCGGGACGCAGGATTTAATATTTTTCTATTATTATTATAATAGGAAAAATTCCAAGACGTTTAACTATAATTTGCTTTTCCAAAAAAATAAATAACTTACTTTTAAAAAATAACAGCGAAACGACTTTGTGTACAAAAAATAATGTCATTCAAATTCCTTAAATAAAAACAGAGATAAAAATTATAAATTTTTTTACTTCTATGTATTTTTGGTGAAAGATTCTTTGTAAAATATCATTAACTTTCAATATTTATAACCCAATTCATATCAGTAAATTATTTATTATGTGACCTCTTCGCAATAATTTAAATAACAAATATGAAAACTGTATTAAAAGGAAT